GAACCTGAACAGGAGGTTATGGGCCATCGAGTCGCCTGCGACCCATAGCGACCCTGTGTATAGCAGCTCTGAACTCTTCCCTGTCCTGAGTCAGTTTAAATCAGACACACCTACTCCCATTTCCCCAGTCACTGTTTCAATCCATCTCATCCAGGGTCTTCCTCTCCCACGCTGTCCCTCCTCCCTTCCATGTGTTAAGTTAGTGGACTTAAAGAAGATATTAGAATGAGAGAAAGCTTAATACAGTTTTATTAAAGTGGGCGAAGGGGAGCTCCTGGGTGAGTTCCTCATCCTGGAGAGGCATAATAGGAAGTCACACTGAACTTACGGTTTTATAAACAGAGTCTTTAGGGAGGGACATTCCACTCTGATTTAGGAGCCACCTGCTAGCTCAGCCAGACATACAAGGCCGTTTGCTCGTATCAGCAGCAGGCAAGGCCATCAGCATGAGTTCTTAATTCTTCATTATTCTCTTTGGCCTCTTTTGCCCAGACTAACACTATGCATGATGTCCTTCTCCAAGGACAAGTCTTTCCTGGCCATACTCCAGAGTATGTGAGATAGAGCTTCAAAATCCCAGCCTCCAAGGAGAAAATTGGTTTTACCCTCTCCAAGACAAACCTATTTGTTTCCTTGGCAGTGACGGTATGTTCAAGACTCTTCTCCAGCACCGCAACTCAAAGGCATCTATTCTTTTTCCGTCATCCTTAGTCATTTTCCAACTTTCTGAAACATAACAAGTAATTGTGAAGACCATGATGTGGATTAGGCACACCTTAGTCTCTAGACTGGCATTGTTGCTCTTTCAGCACTCTGGAGATGTCCGTGACAGCAGATTTTCCCAATGCAATTAATCTTTTGATTTCTTGAGTGCTGGTGTTAGGACTGGTGATTGTGGAGCCAAGCAAGCTGTAATTGTTAAAAACCTCAATCTCTACTCCATCTATCATCTATGCTGCCAATCAGCCCCGTGGTGAGAATCATTGTCTTCTTGATGTTGAGCTGCAATCCATATTGAAGACTAGTCTTTGACCTTTTGCAGCAAGTGCTTCAGGTCTTCTTCAGTTTCAGCAAGAAAGGTTGTGTCATCTGCATAACGTAGGCTGTTGGTGAGTCTACCTCCAGTCCTGATGCCACATTCCTCCTCATAAAGCCCTGCTTCCCGAATGATCTGTTCTGCATACAGATTGAAAATGTCTGGAGACAGGCTGCATCCCTGACGCACTCCTTCCCATGTAGCATTTCTCTGCTCTGTTCTGAGGACTGCTTCCTGGGAGGAAAATATGCAGCATTGAATGAATGAAAATCCAACTTTTTTGTAAAACTTCATTAACATAATAATTTTGAAAAGTAAGAGGATTTAGATTAATTTTATGATTTTTTAATAATCTGGGCAAAATACTTTTTTATAATCTGGGGAAAGAAAAGCAAGACTTGAAGCCATAAAACCATAATCCTTGATACCAGCAGTCAAGACATCAAAATATGTGCTCCATTGGGAAGATCTGCTATCAAGGACCTCTCCAAAATTCTGAAGAGCAAGAATGTCAGTTTCAAGACCAAGGTACACCTGATCCAAGCCATAGTCTTTTCAATTACTTGCTATGCATCTGAAAGTGAACAGTGAATAAGGATGACTGAAGAACTGATGCCTTTGAGTTGTAGTGTTGGAGAAGAGTACTGACTGTCAAAAGAACAAGCAAGTATATTTTGGAAAAAGTGAAACCAGGATACTTCTTGGTGACAAAGATAGTGACACCTCATTTCACATATTTAAGGCATGTTGTTAAGAAGGGCCCATCTTTGGAAAAAGACATATGCTTGAAAGCCTCAGAAGTCCATCAACAAGATGAATTGACAAAGTGACTTATAGCAATGGGCTTGAGTATATCAGAAATGATGAGAATGACACAGGATAGGGCAGGGTTTAGATCTGTTGTTTAGAGGATCACTATGAATCATTGACTGGACAGCACGTGGATTAATGCAAACGCAAATGCCATACCCCTCTAGCAACTGGAATTCTTCAACTATCTTTTCAGGAAAAAGATGGACAACCTCTTCCTGTGTGATTGACAACCTCTTGAAAACCTGCTGGTGGGTCAGTTATGAGTTCTTTCCAGCTTGACAGGCAATGAGTTTACACACATACACATACATGTATATATATCTCTTCATTTTCTTGGATGACAAACACACTTTTAAACCAAATACAATGAAAAAGCATTTACTTAACAGATAGAGTATCAATATATCTGTTTCCTATGTAGCTTGCACCTACAAAGTAATCACTATAAAATTATCCAAAGCTCATGAGAGAGAAAACATATTAGGAGACACGATGTATATAACCTCGGTAATTTTTAAAATGTGAATCTAACAGGTGAAAATTAGCCATTATTTTTATTATCAGTTGCCATGGATTCAATTCCATTTCAATTTATGGCAGCATCATGAGTAGTACTATGATTTATTGTTGTTATGTCCTGTCGAGTCACCTGTAACCCATAATGACCCTATCTATGTACAGCAGCTTTGAACTCTGCTTTATAGGGTATTAATGGTTGATTTAAAAAAAAAAATTACCAAGTCTTTCTTCTGAGGTGTCATTTGGATTTTAAACTTAGATCTTTGTGTTAGTAGCCTAGTTACTTCCACTAAAGTGAAGATTGAAAGAAGAGGAATTTTTTGTCTAAGCAAAGCTCCAATACATTTTAAAAAGAAACTGAGAATGAGTAAAGTAGGAAAAACAACGGATAATAAGAAAAGGTAAGCTGGTATGATAACAAGAATTTATATAGTTTGGGTACATAAACAACAGGAACTAAATCAGCCAGGAAGCAGATTGACTTACCAAAGAAGGTACAGGCGAGAGCATTTAAAACACACAAAAAACAAACCAAACCAAACCACAGCTCAACCAATATAGGAGGGCCCTCATGCTTATCAATCACTGGTTTTAAAACATGGGGGCCCCTATTTATATGAAGGCTTTTATCTCGACTGCCTTTCCTAATCCATTAAGAATCTCTTAGAACTCAGCCTGGGAACAAATAGTTTCTGAAAGTTCACATGTACTTGAGGAGATGTCCTGGTTAAGAATCTCTGCCATTGCAAATATTCTCAGTCAAGTTTCTTGTTTTTAAAGTCCAAAAAGCTTGACCTTGAATAAAAGAAAGACAAGAAAAGTCTGAAAAAATTTCCAATAAAGCTCCAAGTAGGCCTTCATCAGAAAGATCTGACAATATACTTCTGTGATGGTGTTATAAGAATATCTCACACTCTTTAAAGTAATCATCAGGAATCTTGAAAATTAATAAGTGAAACCTCATATACTACTTTGAGTAAAACCACTCCAGTTGAGGTAGCTTTGGTTATATAGTTTAAAGGGAGTTGTTCTGCATTATAAACCAAATATGGCACCTCTCTGGCAGTATGAAACCATCAAAGATTCCAAAAGAGATTGGCAATTCCCCCACCCCAAGTGATTTACCTGATGAGATTTGCCTCTTAAACCCTATTAGAGGACTGGTCAGCTATGAGTCAATTCTAAATCAATAGCAATGAGTGAGTTTGATATGAGCCAGTTAAAGCCAAACACTAGATACAAATAAGTTAGCATGCCTTGAGAGTAGAAAAATCTAATTTGTAGCACAGTATAAGAGTTTGGTAATAGCAAAACATGGAATAGATCCTTCATGCAAGGTGCAGTGCCAGAAATACATAGAAAGAGTAGCCATGTGGTTTTCTCAAAAGTTCCAGAGCTATTTTTCCAGCTCTCTGTAATGCATACTGTAAATGTCAGAAGAATAAAATTGTGAGTGTGCCACTTCACTGTCCATGTAGCCTTACAATGAACACCACTCCCTGCAGATTTGGATAATTGCAAACATTATTATTCCTCCTTTTTCTTCTCCTTTATTTTTGAAGGTGCCTGTCATTTTATGTGCAGTAAAATGAAAAAAAAAATCTGTTTGTCATGATAGTGAGAAAAACACTGCGTATGAAAGCAGGAAAACCCAAGGATTATTTATAGCAAGCAGCAAGCCTAACATCAGAAAAATGTGGCCAAGCTGTTGTCATGTGCCATGGAGTTGTAATCAACTCATAGCTGACCTTCCAGCAGGTTGTGAGAGACTGTAAATCACACAGGAGACTGCCTATCTTCGTCACTTGGAGCAGCTGTTTGATTTTTGGTTTGGTGAGCAACTCATTACCATTAGACCACCAGAGCGCTCTATAATGATGAGCTAGAAGGAGACAAATGTGCTTCTCTCTGCATACCTCCTTGTAAGTTGGGGAACTCTGGTTGTGTATTCAATAGTGTTATGCTGCTAAATCAGAGTTCATGCTTCTCTGGAGACAAATGGGCAAATTACAGCCTTGCAAACATGCTGGAGAGTTGGCTACAAGTTCATTCTGACAGGGCAGAAATGAGTGAATTACTTTACAAGTAGCCTTCATTACATACATACAAAAGGGGTGAAAGGACATATTGTTGAGAGCTTTTTCTCTCTTTGAAATTTGCTACCTTGATTCAGAGAAAATAAGACCTCCACCAAACAAAGCTCCATTGCTTTATTTCATATTTCATATACTGAATGTATTTCATATTATTTATTATGAAATAATGAAGATTTCATATTCATGACTTTTTCCTATTAGAAAGGGTAAGCAGACATGATGCTTCAATCTTCAGTAATAAGTGCATCTGTGAAAAACAAAAGCAAAGCAACCCAAAACCGCAAAATGTCTGATATTTTTAAGCAATAGAAATGTGACCTGAGATACTATTTCTAATTAGTTTATGAAGTACAAATTATGTTACCACACAACAACTTCATTTTGTGTCTATCATTGACTTTTGTTTCATACTATGTTACCTATAGGTAACTTCCATATAAGGGATGACTTTACTTTCAAATGTGAAATAAGGTCAACACTTTAACTCAAAGCCAATATATTTAACACACATATTTATAGGACTTACTACATCATGCAAGCTATGAAGTCGATTGAATACCATTACAATCATGTGAAAAAGCATATATACCAGTACAGAAAAATTACATCTTTACATTAACCAACACAATTTCGGCCATTACATTTTATTCTCTTAGATCATTACAGGTTATAGAGATATATGAAACAAAACAAAACAACACAGGTCACAAATATGTCTTCTTCAATTTTGAGCTTTGTCCTTCACTTTCAAGTAAAAAATACTGGTCATCCAGTTGCAAAAGTCTTATTATTGGAAATATGTATACAGATCACATGTATGAAAATAAACAAGAAAAAAAATGTGCCCATTCAGGCCTGACAAAGATTTTTCTAAAGAGACAACTAAATTATCTCACTTTGAACTAATAAGTGACGTCATTGTTTGCTACTTCTATTTGTTGCCTTCTTTTAGGAAAGAGTACATTCATTCTTACAAACATACACAATTAGATAGACCAGTATAAATGGCATTTGGGGAAAAAGATACTTAAAAAAAGAAATTTCCTGAAGTCATTTCATTCAATAGAAATTAATTTAACTCTAGAAACCAAAGGCTAATTGTGAAGAAATACATAATAAAATGGTATATTACAGACAATGCTAAACTGAACTTTATTTGCCTTTTCATAGAACTGCACCACTTCTGAATATAAGTATTTCAACTGGTCTGTTCCTTGGTAAAAACAGAGCTCTGATTTCATAATTAGGTCTGGCGAGATTGCACTTAACAAGGATGTACCACAAGGAAGAGATCAGACTAGGCAGAGGAAATCAGCGTCTGGTGCCTTTACTCTTTGAACTGGGAATGGAAAAATAAGCTTCTAATACTAAATACTGTTTTTTCATTTAAAACTGCCTGAAGTGATAGAATATGGAAGACTTTTCTATCTAAAACACTCAGTTTTTGTTCTTTCTTCTTTCACAGAAAGCAGTTTGCTATTTGTGTACAATAAATTATATTGATGGTGGCTTTTCAAGCCAACTCCCTAGGCATTTAATAGCATCAAAATACCAGCTTATAAGGAAGAATATATCAGTAAATGTAGTTCTTCACTTGAAAATAGTACTGTTAAAGAGACATCATGCCAAGTCATTGGCTGTGGTGCAGTACATAAAATTTAAGGCAAAATCTCCGACAGTCCCCTCCAATCTCACTCACCATGTCATTATTTGCTTGTATTCACAAAATTACCTTGAACATATGTCACTTTATAACAATGCCAGTTGAATACCAGAAATGTCAAAGCTAAAGGTTCAGATCAGAGTCCTAAAGTTATTTCATATTTTCAAATTGTATACAGACATTTTTGTAAACTATTTAGATTTTCCTAAAACCAGCAATTGATTTTTGTAAAAAATAGTGAGCAATATTCTTGTAAGTGTTTCTATTATCAAAATAGTGATTTCTTCCCCTTCTTGCAGACAATTCAATTCTTTTGCTACTTATGTTCAAGCATTGAATTAAAATAGATTCTTCTATTATAAGTGACTTCTTGTTAGCACGAAAACGGTTCTATTCATACACAGTTAAAAAGATGGGTTTGTGGGGCCTCTTCATCTGGGATTGCATATGGCTTCATTCTTGTAAGGAATTATTGCAGTATGCCCTGAAGTGGACTGTGCTCCAGTTCATTACAACAAGAAGTGGGTGTAACCTTCTGCTCCAGTAACGATAACATCCATCCAGATCCGCATGGCTTCTGGCGAGGGGGCCACCATATAATAGATCCTGTCATGCGTCTTAACACTAAATGTGAGTAATGGATTTGGACTCTAAAAATCAGAAAAGGCAAAGAATGTAAGGTGACATCTTGAAAGTAGAACACTAAAGGACATGATATATGCGAAGGCTTCTTGCTCTTTACAAGTTCCCATTTTTAGAAATTGATGGAAAGATTGTTTATTTAGCTAGTATAACCCATACCTCCCAGTGCTCTTCCAGTACTGACCATACTGCCTGACATTTCTGCCTAAGACTTTACACAGTCTCTTTAGAAGTCAGTTAATGAATGCTTGAATGGTGGTGTGAAGTCCCCAACTATCTATCTATATCTATCTACCTATCTATCTATCTATCTAACTATCTATATTCATGTGAGTGCTACCCTAATGAAATTGCTGTTGTTAAGTACTGTTAAGTCGTAGATGACTCATAGCAACCCTATGAATGAAAGACCTGAACACTTCTATAACATTATCATTTCTCCATGTTCATAGAGTTTCGGAGGCAAGCCATTTTGGAAGGGTATGCTACTCCTGTTTCCAAGCTTGTTTTAATCGGGGAGCACCACCAAACACTGTCCACCATGGGTAACCATTACCACATTTGACAGCTCAGTGTCAGTGGTTAGCATCACAGAAACCTTGAGTTACCTCTATACAGCAAATGGACAGACTAGTGCTATGCCACTTAGAAGAATGTTTGACCCAAAACAATTACAACCAAGTCTGAGGGGCTGCAGATTAAAAGCACCCACCTTTGGCTTGGTAGCATAACTTTGTATCCCGAGCACTTAAAATTGTCAGGTTTTATAGTTTTTTTTTTCTCCTCTAATATATCTAATCATTAGTAACATGTACAACATACCATACTGCACAGTGTCAATTTACGCTGTTATTAAAAAAAGAGGTATTTTATTTATATCACAACTGCCTTTTGATGAAGTTGTTAAATTGAAACTTCATTGAAACTCTGAGGCAGTGTACTGGAAGTAACTTCTTGCAAGACGCCTTAAATGAAGTTTGTTTACAGCATCCTCCTATGAACAGCTTCAGAATATTTCAGAATATTTACTCACTTTTCTACGACTGCTTTTTTAAATGAATTTTTTTAATTATTATTTTCTTATTTTGTGTGTGTGTGTACCGTCAAATCGGATCTGACTGGTACAGGAGGAGATTGTCCCTCCTTTTCCCGGCAGAGCATCTGGTGGATGTGAACCATGCGCCTCTGGGGTTGCAGTGCAGCTTCTTGCCACTAGGCCACCAGAGCTCCCCTTCTACGACTGTTTTAAAGCTGACTTTTTGATATCTATGTGTTTTTTTTTGGCATATTCTAATTATATCAACCCACTATACCAGAAAAACCAACCAAAATTGTTTAGAATTGAAAAAATATCCTTTCTCCCAACATAAGTATGCATTCAGAATTGTAGGAATATAGGGTAAGAAGTCAATGGTTACCTTATTTGCATTCTTCAGGTGATCATAATACACTTCTTCAATGGCTTGAAAATATATTACTCCTTTTAATTTAGCTTCATGCTTGTCTGCAAAGATACATGGAAGTTAAAATAGTTTATCACCAGTGATGGACAGGAAAAATTATAATTTCCTTAAAATTACTACCATTAAAATATCTACGTGATATTTAAACTACTTAAAATTAATTAAGATAATCTGATTTAGTATATTAGCTTGATTCTATATGGGAAAAAAATTGAATCATCAGCACCAAACTGACAGTACTACATGATTTTGCCCTAGGCTCTTTAGCAAATTAGCAGACAAAAGATAACTCAGACATCTTGGCTTTGATTAGTATACCAAGTATAAATACTATTAGTACAATATAAAGTACTTTACCAATACTCAAAGGACAAATTAATAGTGGAGTATATAATAGTGGAATATATATATTAGTGATTTTTTTACAATTGAAAAATATTCCATTTTTTCCCTATCCTATTTCTCATACAGGATGCTGGTGCTGTTGATTCCCCTTCCATCTCATTTTTGTTGAGATTAGGTTCATGCCAATAGCATCTTTCCAAGGAAGCACTGCTTTATCATTAAAATAGTATAAAAGAAACCCAAAATCTTAACCATGCAAAATAGCCCTGCTCTGTAAGTTCTTAAAATATTTTTCAGTTTAAACTCTTGAAAGATCACATACATGTAAGTATACTAAAGAACTTAAAAAATATGGGTGAGAATACAGGGAATGAGAGTCTATTGTGCCTTACTGGTGGAAACATAAATAAGAAAGTCCTCTTTGGAAGGAATTTAGTAAAACTCACAAAAATAAACAAATCTTCTTATTCAGTACTTCACATCTAAAAATTTACTGTACAAGACATAGTTACGCATGTACAAATAAATGCACTTGGATTTCTGCTTGTTATAGCATAGGCTTCAAAGGATCTATTTAAGATCTAACAAGGGACTGATTTTGTTTTAAAATAGTCACATAGTGGGAAAGAAAAGAATGAGGTTAAAGAAATTCTTGGGGGAAGGGGAAAGTAAAACAAGATGGAAAACAATGTGAATAATTTGGTCCCAAATCTATAAAGGGGGGGAAAATTACATATACATACTCAACCATATATATGTAAGAATATTTCAGATGTAAAAAAAATAATATTTCAGATGTAACAATGGGGAAAATTTCAGAACTTATGTGATGAGACAGAAGTTCACTTCCACTAAATAAACTTGTGTATTTTAAATGTTTTACAAAATGAATATATCTTTCTCCCCCCCTTCAATAATACCAGTGAAAAAGACAGTCTGAAAAATAAAGGTCCTGAAAAGCTCAGTTAAAACGAAACCTTTTAAAATAAATTTAGACTATAACTTCCTCAATTAGACCTTCTTCTTCCTTGGGCAATATTATTTTATATAAAGATCATATTCAGTGAGTTTTAATCAATTTCTGTGTGAGACAATGTCAGTGCATCCCTCAGACATTTGCTTGAAAATATTCTGCAGTACTTAATGGCAATACAATATTCCTCCTTTCCCAAAAAGTGTTAATGTAAAATAAAATCTAGAGATAATTGACTAAATCTTGTCCAGCAGGCAAGAAACTGGGGCAAAAAAGCTTTCATTTCCATGGGACTTGGAATATATATACGATAAAGAACTCTGAAAGATACAAGTCTTACAACCACATAGTGAGTTAAGAGAAACAACATGTTAAAGAAAATTGACTGAATAATGTTATGTAATCTATTGAAATAGTATCATTACCATCAACTTACAGACATATAAATTCCTTGACTGAGTTTTAGTGGTTGACTCTTCTAGTGACCTAGGTAACATGCAGTAAGGCTAGGAACAGAGGTAAGAGTCAAGAATACAATAGCTGCTTCCCATGTCCACATGGCCAACTGCGCAACTGACAAGAGGTGGGTCACCTGTGGCATTGAATGTAGTTAAATGGCAACTGGGCAACTGTGTGTGGACTAATTTATTCATTTGATTGTATTTTAATTAAAGGTGGGGCTGAAGGTAGCAGAGTAGACAACTGACGATGGCTCTAACAGATCTGCCAAACTGAGATTTAGTGATTGATCATCAATATGCAAACCTTAAAAATTTGAAACGTTTTCATTAGATAAATATTTTGTCTAGTTTATGTGTTGAGGTTGTGGATAATCTTTCATATATTAAAAAGATTTAGTATTTTAAAATGTGGAAAACCAGTTACTAAGAAGTACCTTAAACTTGTTCTTAAACTTGTATGTTTAAACGTGTGAAAACCCATTCCCAGTTACTGAGAAGTGCCTTACGCTTGTTTCTAAATTTGTGAAAACACATTAACACAGGGCAGCCAAAGAACAGGTCTGGAGAAAGTAGCCAGGGCAGCAAGTCACTCACCTCACTGATGGTTAAAAAGACTAGAAAGGCTCCCAGAGAAGAGGACCAGGTACAGAAGGAAAGTAAGATTTTTTTAAGCTATTGAAGTCAAGACAATCTCTCAAGTGATTTACTGTTTTTGAAAATCTCCTGAGGGGTCAGCTATGGGTAAATTCTGAAACAATTATAACAACACCACCACCACAATTTCAAGACTTAAGTTATGTATTTATTTTACTTCTGAGGGAAGATTGTCTGTGGAGACCAGCATAAAGTACCATTTCATTTATACACCTTGCAGACACTATCTTGGCATTTCTTGGGAAAGTCTGCTGTTAATGACCTTTCTAAAGTACTCAAGAGCAACAGTGTCTCTCTGGAGACTAAGGTGCAACGAATACAGGCCATGATATTTGCAATCACTTGTTATGCATCAGAGAGTTGGACAAGGACTAGGGAGGACAGAAGAAATGATGCCTTTGAGCTGTGGTGCTGGAGAAGAGTGTTGAATGTATCATGGACTGCCAAGAAAACAAACAGATTCATCCTAGAGAGGGTTAAACCAAGCTACTCCTTGGAGGCAAGGATTCTGGGGCTTCGTCTGACATACTTTGGGCATGTTGCAAGGAGGGACAGGTCCTTGGAGAGGGACATCATGCTTGGGAGGGTGGAGGGACAGCGCAGGAGGGGAAGACCCTCTATGAGATGGATTGATTCAGTGACTGGGGTAATCGGGATGGGTGTGTCAGAGGCAGTGCGATTGGCATAGGATAGAGCAGAGTTTAGGGCTGTTGTACATAGGGTCGCTATGAGTCGCAAACGACTTGGCAGCACATAACAACAACCACAACATTAAACTTACGGAAAAGAACATCTCTGGATGTTCTTTATGTTTTACTTACAAAATGGAATCTAAAATCAAAACTGAAAAGTAAAACAAGAGATCCAGTGAGGAGTAAGCATTTCTTTTGGGCCATCAGCTGCTGTAGTAACTAGAACCTCACGCAGCACTGATGGGAAAAGCATGCATCCCCGTTCTTTCCCTACTCCCATTTGAGGCCTCCACAGCCAATCCTTTCCTCCACATGCTTCTTGCCTGCTCAGACCATTTGCATAAACTTAACCTGACCTCACATGATACACTAAATGATTGTCATTGTTGTTGTGTAACTTCAAGTTGGAACCGACCCATAGGTGGCTCTCTGGCGGGTTTTCAGAGGCAGTTGATCACATGGGAGGAGAATGCCCATCCTTCTCCTATGGAGCAGCTGGTGGTCTTGAACCCCATGCCTTTGGGATTGCAGCACAGCTTCTTGCAATTAGGCCACCAGAGCTCCCTACTAAATGACTAGACTATTATTTTATATTTATAACACTGATTGTTTTGTAACAATTCTTGGCCATGCTCATAAACAGTCATCCCAAAGCAGAGTTTGTTCATAATCTCTAGGACGGTACCAGTAAAGACAGCTGAAATACTGGTGCTAAGGGCGAACATGCTTTACCTGTGTCCAGAAATTAACTAGGAGATTCTGTTTTTCTTTAAATTGTGATTTGAGAGAAAGGTGAGAAAGCAAATTAGTGTTTGCTTTATTTACATCTTAGAGAGTGCCTTGGTAGCACAATGGCTAAGCTTTTGATGGAAAATCCAAAGATCAGTGCTTTTGAATTTATTAGTTGCTCTTGGACCGGTAGTGTGGCAGCCGACTCTAGAAACCCTATGGGACAATTCTACTCTATCCAACAGGGTCACTATGAATCAGAATTAACCAAGGGCAATGAGTCTTGATATGCTAACATTCTTGTATTTCTCTAAGACACAATAGAGTACATTTCTCATAATCCATCATCTAAAGAACTCAAAAATATTTCAGTCATTTCATAAATACTTATTCACCCATTGCCTGGGGAGTTTCACCCCCTCTGCTTAACGAGCATTCAATTTTGTAAACTATAGTCGAATGGCTGTCAATGGAGGCCACCTACTTGAGTGTGACGTAAGGAATGCATACGGCCAAGAATAAATAATGCAAAAATGTCATTTCCTTTCCACCCCCGGCCATGCTATGTGTTTTAAAAGGTAATATTTTTTATCAAAAGTCTATTTAATATTTATTTGGACCTGAGTTTATTTTAGCTCCTACTTTTTGAAGGACTATAGTATTTTATGGTTTCTGTAAAGGAATTCACATATGTAGACTATACGATTTGAATACAAACATTGTCTACAAAGTTAATGTTGTCATTACTCCTATTACTTTACCCAGTTATTTCTTTTCACCAAACTTAAAGGTAAACTGCTTTTAACTTTCTAAGCTAAGGATCTGAACGTATCAAATTTTTTTGCCACTCACCTGCGTAATAAGAGAATGTTCGCTTGTTCCGATCAAAAACAAACCAGCGTTTTTTCCAAGTTTTAATTTTCCCTCCCATCTTGATTAGGTATCCTCGACAGGTTTTCTCAGTGATTGAAATGTGGTAACAGGTATCAATATTGTGGCCAGCAGTCTCCACATGACTTCGCAAATCAAAGTCTTCCTTCCGGACAGGCAGATAACGTGTCAGAGGACGAGCCTGGGAAAGTGGAAAGCACAGTCCAATTATATATAATTTCTAGTGTTTTAAGGAGTACATTGGTGTAGTGCTACCTTATCATGCTGCTAACTGAAAGGTGTGCAGTATGAATCCACTAGCAGCTCTGTGAACGACAGATGGGCTGTCGCCTCCTATTAGATTTACAGCTTCATAAACCTGAGGTTGGAATGAATTTGGTTGGGTTTTTTTGTTTAACAGAGGCACACAGAGCTTAACAAAAACAATATATTTGTAATAAACAATGTATTTGTAAATAAACTAGCAGAAAATTAAAATCAATTATACCTGTTCTATAATGTATATCCCCTCAAAGGAAAAGCTAAATTATGTTTGTTATTATATGCCGTCAAGTCATTTGCAACTCATAGCGACCCTATGTACAACAGCCCTAAACCGTGCTCTATCCTGTGCCAATCGCACTGCCTCTGATACACCCATCACGATTACCCGAGTCACTGAATCAATCCATCTCATAGGGGGTCCTCCCCTCCTGCGCCGTCTCTCCACCCTCCATGATGCCCCTCTCCAAGGACCTGTCTCTCCTTACAACATGTCCAAAGTATGTCAGACAAAGCCCCAGAATCCTTGCCTCCAAGGAGTAGCCTGGTTTAACCCTCTCTAGGATGAATCTGTTTGTTTTCTTGGCAGTCCATGATACATTCAACACTCTTCTCCAGCACCACAGCTCAAAGGCATCAATTCTCCTTCTATCCTCCCTATGCCATATAATAAGATGCATATATAATCCTAGATGTATTTCTGTACATGTATGTTTTATAAAGGTTCGTTTTTAAATTTTACAATAAAACTTCTGCTAACGAAAAACAAACAAAAACCCAAGGAAATGAAACATCTGGATTGCTCCCTATAAGTAAAGCTGTTATTTTAAAGTTCCAAGAGGTTCTTTCTACTATAACTTAATCAGAATAATTCTCTTTCAGTCATCTCAGGCCCTGATGTGCCTCAGTAAATAACTCTCATCTGGTTCCCCTAAAAATGAACATGTTAGCATACACACAGTTTAACAGAACTGAAGGCCATTTCCTCCCCCATTTTCAAGTTATGTTTGAAAGGTGAAGCTCAAAGAAATAAGAAACAAGAGCAAAGCTGGACAGAATGGCGCTGTGGGGATGCACCTGGAAGGCTTTTATTTCAGTAATGGTTGTGGTGGATGTTCATCTACTCTTTGAAAACACATACTATTCTGAGCAATAATTCTAAAGTGATGTTTAATTTTATTCTGTTAAATAACCCGTCCCTCCACTATATCACCACTACCTCCACCAGGGACAATTACCTAAATATACATATGGAGATCTAACATATTAATCTGCGTAACTCAGGTTGTTGATGAGTTTTCCTTCCATCGTGATGCCTCATTCTTCTTCACAAAGTCCAGCTTTTCAAATGATTTGCCCAGTGTACAGATTCAATAGGTTTGGAGAGTGGATACAATCCTTACGCATACCTTTCCTAATTTTAAATCTTATGATGTTCCCTTGCTCTGTTCTCACAATAGCTCTTGATGTAAGTATAAGTTTTCCTTGTGCACAATTAAGTGTTCTGGGATTCCCATTCTTTTCAATATGAACCATAAATTGTTATGATCCATAAAGTCAAACATCTTTGCATAGTCAATAAAGCATAAATAGACATTCTTCTGGTATTCTCTGCTTTCAGCCAAAATCCATCTGACATCAGTAATGGTATCCTTAGTGTCATGACTTCTTCTAAACCCTAACCTTCTGGCAGTTCTCTATCAATGTACTGCTTTATGTGCTTTTGGATCATCTTCAGCAATATTTTGCTTACATGAGATATTAATAAGTCAATATTTTCCATAATCTGTGAGATCACTTTTCTTATCAATGGGAACAAATATGGATCTCTTCCAGACAATTGACTAAGTAGCTGTTTTCCAAATTTCCTGGCACAAAATAGTGAGCACATCTAGGGAAGCATCTGTTATTTGAAGCATGTCAATAGGTATCCCAGTGATAATGGTGGCCTTATTTTTTTGCCAATGCCTTCAGTGTAATTTGAACTCCTTCCTTGTTTGCTGAAAGTGAGGAAGACTTGCAGCTCTTGTTTCAGAAGATCAAAGACTATATATAGCTTTCAATATGGATTGTATCTCAATATAAAAGGGACAGAAATTCAACACTGGACTGAAAAGCAACATCATGACAGATGGACAAAAGATTGAAACTGTCAACAAACTTGTCTTACTTGGCTCTACAATCAACATACCAGCAGTCAAGAGATCGGGAGACATATTGCATTGGGAAAGCCTGCTGTCTGGGACCTCTTCAAACAATATCAGTATTTTGTGTAGTCTTTAAAAAATTTTTGTTTTATATTGGTTTGCATATAAAGTTCATATACAATGTGTTTCACACTATCTCTTACTCACACTGAATTTCATACAATTATTTTCATTCACTGTGTTTTATAAAATGAATCACCATTGAACCAAGCCCACCATTATCCTGTTTTACCAGATTCCTGTCAGATTTTTCTCATTTCTTTACCCCCATTTCCTCTACCCACCATGTGTGACCCTATGATGTCCCCCTTGCTGATCCTCACCCTCTTCTCCCACCCCTCGGATCCCCATACACATTTTACTAGTATTTTTCTATTTTTACAATAATGGTCTTATCCAGTATTTGTCATTATGACACTGAATTAGCTCACTCAGCATAATGCTATCTAGTCCCTCCCAAGTTATGTAGTATTTTTCCAATTCATTGCTCCTGAGGACTGCGTAGTATTCCATCATGTGAATGTGCCATCATTTCTCAATCCTTTCAATTATGGTTGGACATTTAGGCTGTTTCCATTTTCTTGGGGATCGTGGATAACACTGCTAAGAACATTGGTGTATAAATCTCTCTTTGTCTCTCAGTTCTATTTACCTTGGGGTATATTCTTAGCAGTGGGATAACTAGGTCATATGGAATTTCTATGTTCAGCTTTTGGAGGAAATGCCAAACTGCCTTCAAGACTGGTTGTACCATTTTACAAGCCCACCAATAGTGTATAAGAGTTCCTATCTAACAGTATCAGTTTGAGGATTAAAGTGCACCTGATTCAGGCCACGGTCTTTCTGATCACTTGCTACACATTTGAGAGTTGGACAATGAATAAAGATGACAGAAGACTTGATGCATTTGAGTTGTGGTTTTGGAAAGGAGTGCTGGTTTTTCCATGGACTGTCAAAAGAACAAACAGGTATGTCTTGGAGAAAGTGCAGCTGAAGTCCTCACTGGACTCAAGACAAAACTTTGTCTTACATGCTTTGGACATGTTAGGCTAGACTATTCTTTGGAGACAGATGTCATGCTTAGAAAGGTGGAGGGTCAGTAAAAGAGAGGAAGCCCCTCAACCAGACAGACTGACACAATGACTGCTACAATGGGCTCAAATATGTCAGAGATGATCAGGAATTTGCAGGACAAGGACAACATTCAGATATATTGTTCATAGGGTCACTATGAGTCATGCTCAACTCGTCAGCACCTAACAATTGCAAAGAATAATATGGAATTGTGTTTTTTTGACCTTCACTGCTAATGAAGACACCAGAAGAGGCTTGATATAGCTAAATAAAATGGCCAAGTTTCATTTCTATCTTTCACCCAGTATTTTATCTTTGATCCTGTGACACTTTGTGGACATAACTAGGTTTAGACAGATAAGTGAATGTCTTAAGAATAATCTTTAATTGGTGTGATATCAAACTGTCAGGAGTTATAAAGAACAAAGGACCTTTTATATTTAAGTTTCATAAACAGTGGCAAAATCAATTTGAGCTTTAAATGATATAGTCCTTCATAAAACTTTAGGGAGCCCAGGTGGTCTATTCTGTAGGGGATTGTGCTGCTAAGCCAGAGGCCAGGCCTCTCGGGTGGTTCACCTCTTCTAAGTGCCTCCTGGGAAAATTTCTTCCTGTGCAATTACAGCCTCAGAACCTGAATGGAGTTTCAGCTATAGTTGAACTAATGTAAGTTTTAACTCTAAGGCAAAAAAGTTCAGGTAAATTAAGTAAAAGTACATTTCATTTTCTCAGAAAACACATATCACATAAGCTGCTCAAGTGACAAGAAAGTGGCTCAAACTCTACAAAGACAAGGCCACAAAGCTAAATTAAAATGGTGACTCTGAATTTTGCTCACATTCACAAGTGTTATGAACTTGTTTTGCAACTTGTGTAGCAAAGTGAACATAGGAAAAACACAGGAACTAGAAAACATACAGTAGGAAACCAATTTGGGAAATAATATTATTCTGAAATGCCTGTCTAAAAAAAAACAAGACTGAATAGCACTTCTTCCCATTGTCAACCAAAGGCTTAAGCTTAGGAGTTGTATTTATTTGCACTAGAAAATAAAATCCACTTTCCTCTCCAAAACCTCAAAACTACTTCTTTGAAGTGTTCTGAAAAATGGCTGAAAGTGCCTCCCTCATAGAATGTTCTACTTATTGCTGGATTAAAGCTCTGCTGGTGTAGTGGTTACACAGCAGGTGTGATGCGAACGCAAAGACATGCAAAGTTCGAATCCACAAGCTGCTCTGCAGGAGAAAGATGGGTGCTCTCTTCCTGTGCAAGATACTGTCTCTGAAAATCTACTGGAGGATCAGCTAGGAGTAAGTTCCGACTCCACATCACATAACAACAAGCATAACTAGATAGTAGTATAATTTGGTTGGTAGGAGGCAACGATTTTGAAGCTCCATCTCATATACCTTGGGCACGTTGCCAGGATCAGTCCTCGGAGAAGGAAATCATGCTTGAAAGGGTGGAGGGACAGCGCAAGAGCGGAAGACCATGGAAGAGATGGACTGAAAGTAACTGGGAAAATGGGGTGTGTCACAGACAGTGAGACTGGCTCAGGATAGGGGAGGATTCAGAGCTATTGTGCATAGGGGTTGCTGTAGTCGCAGGCGACTCTGTGGCACACAACAACAATAATAGCAGCAACAGGCATTTAGAGCTTTAAAATGAACACACACAACACTGTACATTGGCATGGTGGCGGTGGCCATCAGCATGTCCAGGGCCAAGAGCAGGAGAGCGCATGCTCAGATGCAGAATGGTCGGCTAAGGCCTGACCACTAGGGGGCAGCCTCCTCTTATCCATCCACACTGGCCGACCAACCTGGGCCCTTTGCTTCTCCCTTATTTTTACTTCCTTTTCAATTAACTTCTGCCTCTGGCTCGTTTCTTCCTGCAGCCGTTTCTCCAGGAGTTCTCGGCGTCGTTTTTCTTCTTCCAGAGCTCGTTTTTTGGCTTCCATTTCCCGTTCCTAAATAGCATCAGGCAGAACAGTTATTATTTTAGGGCTTATTGGTTATCTTGGAAAGATTCCAACTAATCTCGTAGAAGAAAATTCTCACTAGGCCATTCTTGAGCCACAGCCACGTTTCTTAGACTATATAATCCAACAAAAACTAGCCACGACCACCTTTTGAACAGTTTTTAAAAGAAAGTACATGTAAACCCACCAAAGTTTAATCAACAAACATCACCCATACAGGGAAAATCAAGCTAGTGACTGAATTCAGTTATTTAAGTTCATAGTCATAACTCTCTGTATTTCAATATGAAGCTTTTCAAATTGTCCCCCAAAATTAGGCGTTGGATGTATCCTTTCAAGTGCTACCCTCCAGCTGAGGGCCGGGGTCCTCCCCCAGTTCCTGTTGTTGAGGAAGGCCTCACAGGAAGCCTGGGGGTGGTGAGAAAAGGAAAGGAGGTGCCCTTTGAGGCAGGATGCACAGGCATTTTGGGGGATTCTAAGGAAGTTCATATTCCCACTAGAAACAGGGTCAAATACCGTGGGATTTTTGATAGTACAATGGTGAAGCTAAGACCAAGTGGCAAGCACAGGGAAGTGTACAGACTTGACATTCCCCCTCCTTCCTCGTGGGAACACAAAGTAGCATTCGAAGGGGAGGTAACATATAAAGCACCATGAAAAGTGCAGTGCAGAATGGAGAACCTTTAGAAATCCTCAGTCTAACTCCAGGCTTATCAGAAAACAAAACTAAGGCTGAGAAAGGCTGAGCACATCAGTAATACTTGAGGGGAGTGGGGTCCTCTGCTAACACAGGGTTCCCCTGGCTCCTTACTGACCTTTAACAGAGGGCAAGAAGCTTACCCGGGATTCCAGCAGCCTTGTCTTTTCTGCATGAGCCTGTTTCAAAAGTCTCTCCATTTCTTCTATCCTGGCAATATTTGAAGTACTGGCACTGTGTAAAACACAAAGGTGGTTCAAAGATACTGTTACAGACGCTAAGACTCTCTCACACACACAGGTTCAAAGTAGGTGTATGATAAGACCATATACATTTTACAGATGTTAATTAACAGTCATTGGTCTGGTGAGATCTGTCAACTCAACTCTGAAAACTGAAAATGACAGTGACTCACCTCAGCTTTAACTCCCAAAACTCAAACTGCTGCTTATCAGAACTGGTTCAATGGGTATGTATGGTTGTAAATCATACTAGATGAGACTGCCCATCTTTGTCTCAGAGCCACAGGGGGATCTGAACTGCTAAAAAGGTTCTGCCTTTGGGTTACCACCAGCACAACTCTCTACAGACTATGCAGTTAGAACTTCTTTTTGTTTTATATTTTTTTACCAAATCACATCTAAGATGGCTTAAACCCAGGGGTCAAAGTTCCTTTGACAAGAAAACTGACTGCAGCAGTACCACAAGACTAACAGATGGAGGATTTGAAGGAAGAATTTAGCAGTTACCCCACCACCCCCAAGCTTGATCACTTCCTGAGAAACTTGATAACACCTAAGCTGGCCATATCAAAGACCAGACCAGACAATGGATGCTGATAAAAGTCTGAGCTTGCTTAAAAATAGCTAAAACCTAACTTAATTAACACACCAAATTCTAAGAAGTACCATCTTAGTCCTCCCCAGGACCCTTAGAAAAAGAGAACCTCCCAAACTGCCCGGGCACCATTTTGATTCTGTCTGCATGTCATGCTACTGGATCACTTGGCGTCCCTCTCAGACCGCGCAATAAAGGCCTGTTCGTTTCTTGGGACCAATTCCTTTCTTTATTTCTCTCCCTCGTGCCTTCATGCTCTTTTTTTATATCTAACAGGATTATTTTAGGGTCACATTGTTAACCACATGCATCCATCAGTGAGAGTCAAAGCTTGAGGATTACTGGGATCTTTACAAGGTCAATAACAATTCTTTACAACGTTTCCTGTGCCAATTTTTGGACAAGTGTTTTGTTTTCTTCTCCTGAAAAAGAGAAGAACAGGAATTTCTTCTCATTATTTCAACTAGTTGCTACAGAAGATACAAGAAAACGAATCCTACTTTCTTCAGCAAGTGAGAATTAAAATTAAAAAAAATATATATATATTCTTTAACGTCTGTGCAGGAGTTCTTATTCCTCTTCATTGAGAATAGCTGATTTTATGGAAGAGAAAGAGGCTAACATCATTGTACGATAGATAAAGCCTATAATAAGCCTGCAAGTCACATAACAGCACCAAACCATTTTTTTCTACTGTATGTACTGAGTTGTCTATGATCAGGCACGTCTCATGTATACAATTAACTTGGAAATAGTTTCAGCTTCAGGCACGTCTCATGTATACAATTAACTTGGAAATAGTTTCAGCTTCTCTGAGGAAGTAATTGGTCTTCAATATGGATTATACCTCAACACCAAGAAAACAAAAATCCTCACCACTGGGCCAATAGGCAATATCATGATAAATGGAGAAAAGACTGAAAATGTCTATGCTTTCCTCTTACTTGAATCCAGCATCAACTTGAATCCTTGGTACCAGCAGTCAAGAAGACAAAGGACATATTGTATTCAGAAAAAATCTGCTGTCAAGGACCGTTCCAAAGTACTAAGGAGCAATGATACCTTTTAAAGACTAAGATCCACCTAATTCAATCCATGGTCTTTTCAATCACTGTTGATAAAACTGAGTTGGACAATTAATTAATAAGGACAGAAGAAGAATCAGTGCCTTTGAGTTGTGGTATTGGCAAGGATGTTGAGGCTTTATCTTTCATACTTGAACATGTTTCTAGGAGGTGCTATGTCTTAGAAAGGGAACTCATGCTTTGAAAGGTAGAAGATCCTCAACAAAATGGACTGACACAGGGACTGCAGCAACAGGCTCGAATGTGTCAGGGGTAAAGAGGATGGCACAGAAGAGGGTTCAGGTCCGTTGTTCATAGGGTCACACTGAGTCATACTCAACTCAATGTCCCCTAAAAACAACAACAATGAACTCTGAGATCTTAACTGAAAGGTGAGCAGTTCGAATCTACTGCCATGAAAAAGATGAGCAGTCTCCTCCAGTCAGGATTCACAACCTTGGAAAACTGATGGAGGGTCTTCACTATGAGTTGAAACTTAACTCCATGACAGTGGATTTGGTTACTTACTTCTAAAATAATCTTCTTTTAAAAAAAAAAGAAAAAAAGAAAAAAATTCTTTTTATCCAGAGACACACACTTGTTCGGTGTAATCATCTTTGCTACTGCTGTTTTAAACAATTCCTTCACATTTAAGCAACTTTAATTCAACAAAACTGTTGTTGCTATACCATGTTGTTGCCATTTAATAGCTTTTTACCCTCCCTGTCAGAATAGTCTCTACAGTGAAAAGCCTGTGCAATTACAACAAGAATTTAAGGAAAGGTATTTGGCTTTGGTGGTCTAGTGGTAAGAACCTGCGCTGAAATTCTGAATGCACAGTTTCTATCTTCAGTTGCTCCGGGTGTGTGTGTGTGTGTAAGAATGGGTGATCTCCTTCTGTGAGATTAACTGCCTGCGAAAACCCACTGGAGGGTCAGCTATGGGTCAGTTCTGACTCAATGATACACAACAATAACAACAACAACAACAACTATTTAGACTTGTAGATCCTCAATAAGATGGATTGGCATGGTAATTGAAACAATGAGCTCAAGCATATTGGAGATGATGAGATGTAAAAAGTTAGGGCCAAGTCCAGATCTGCTGTTCACAGGTCTTATTTATAGGGTCACTATGAGTCACAGTCAACTTCATAGTACACACAAAAAAATACTTAGCCTTGTGTACATCATAGCATGTGAAGATAATAACAAATAAAACGCCACTTGGCCTAGCACCTCCTATGTGGGGAAATAAGAAAGAACTGAAGATAAGTTTTCTAACGAATGCTTCTGAGTTGTGGTGTTGGTGAAGAGTACGTAGTATATACTATGGGCTGACAAAAGGACAGAGAAATCTGTCTGGAAGAAGTACAGCTGAAGTGCTTCTTAGAAGCAAGGATGGCTAGATTTTGTCTCACATACTTCGGGCATATTGTCAGGAGGGATTAGTCTCTGGAGAAGTGCATCACACTTGGTAAAGGCAAGGGTCATCGAAAAAGGAAGACTCTCCGTCAGAGATTGACAGAGTGGCTGCCATGACAGGTTCAGGCAGAGCAGTGACTGTGCGGGTGGTGCGGTACTGGGCAGGGCTTTGGTCTGTTGTACACAGGGTAACTATGAATCAGAACCTACACAGAGGCATTAAACAACAACACTTCTAGCACATGACAGTTATCATTGTTTTCTCCAGTTCATCCAAATCACGAGAGGAGTGAGGCTTCCTGCCATTGCTCCAACTCCAACTTCCTCGTCAGATGGCAGGCGTGATCTCATATGCCACCACTGGGCGAATGTTGACGGGCCTGACAGAATGACTGCTAATGTTATACGGATGCCCAGGTGTACCTACTTTTTCTACTAAGTCATGTTTTCTGCTATTTCCACGATGAAGATTTCTTTTCAATCTAAGCAACTTTAATAAAATTGTTCAAAACAGAAAATAAAATTTTCATCAAAGGTTAAGTGAATCTAAGTGGCAGGTTTGAGGGTATTCAATGTTGGGTGATAGTCTCTTCCAGTAATATTTAAATCAGTGATTAAAGTACTATTTTAAATCAATTTTATTTTAGATAGTTCACTTTGAGGTAAAGACAAAAGCAAAACTAATAGAAAAAAATTTTATAAGCACATTTCCGAAAGCACTGTCCTTGGTGATGAGCCTCAGGTGATAGATGGTGGGGTCTCCTGGGACCCCTGACCTCTGGTGAAGCCATGTTTTCTAATCGGGATATTTTCTGGTTTACATTGTCCTTTTTCACTTTAGGAACTGAATGTTTGCCTTGAAGAGTTTTGGCAATAACTGAGTCAACGTGAAAACCACACTAACATTTTTCTCCCTGTGTGGACTGTTGCAAGATGGAGCGCCTCTCCTCTAGGATGATTTATCTTCATCGTGGCCTTTCAACTGGGATTGGTTGCGGGGTTGGGCCCCTACGAGTTTGCAAAACTGTCTCGGGAGCCACCAACCTTCGGGCCCAGGAGGAGCCTGCTTATCAGCTAAAGCCTTTCCACTTTGTGACGTCCGTAGGCATCCAGGACAGTGAAAAGCTAAACAAGACCTGCTGCCTGAATGGGGGAACCTGCGTGCTGGGCTCCTTCTGTGCCTTCGAGTTGAGCATGACTCATAGTGACCCTATGAACAAAAGGCCTGAAGCCCCTCCACAACTATGGACACTTATCAAAGTTCATAGAGTTTCTGGAGGCATGTTGTTCAGTAAGTGGATACCACTCCTGCTCTTTTCATATACAAACTTTTCTCTAACACTTTCTCATTCATTTCCACACAGTCTACTAGCAACCTGGTCTTTTTGAAACTTAGTTGTGACCTCTGAAATCATTATTTTGCTCTATCTTCTGAAAAAAATTTCCTAGAAGGAAATGCATCTACCCACTTTGGCTATCTACAATTTTGTTGCTGTTGTTGAGTGCCATAGAGCTGGAATCAGCTGATAGCTGATCCTCCAGCGAATTTTCAGAAGCAGTTAATCACACGAGAGGAGATTGCCCATCCTTCTTCAGTGGCCTCGGACCACGTGCCTTTGGGATTGCAGCATAGCTGCTTGCCATTAGGTCACTGCCTAAAGTGAAGTGACTAGAAGCACTTGACATTTTGATTAATGTGGCTCTTAAAACCAATTCAACCATATCTTATTCCTCTTCATATCTAATGCCATGTTTCTCTGCCTCTAGCCACACTTTTAGTATTTTTCTTCTTAAACTATACTAGGGAGCTCTGGTGGCCTAGTGGTAAGAATCTGTACTGTAATCTCAAAGGCATGTGGTTCGAATCCATCAGCTGCTCCACAGGAGAAGGATGGGCAATCTCCTCCCA